GCACAATGATAATACCAACATGGGCCAGTGAAGCAACATCCTCCACAACTAGACTGAAGAACAAAAGGACAGCAACTTGTCTGTTCCCCTTCTCCCGATTCCCCAGCGCTGTTCCCCTCCCCCAATTCCCCAATAAAATCTTAAAAAAAAAATAAAGAACCACCTGTATATGGAAATTAGGCCAAATGTAAATTGTGATTTTCCCCTAGACATTGGAATTAGTGTGGTATTTTATCTTTAATTTTTTTCCATTAAGAAAATTGACTCAGTATATATTATTTTTAAAAAGAAAAAAATTCCAATATATATTTTTAACTCAGCAAAAATGTATGCTAATCTACAAGTGGTGAAAATATGAGTCATTTCTGTGTTTTCAAAATATTTACCCAAGGCATATATTACTTTTGTAATCAGGATGAGTAAAGTTTGTTTGAAAATAAAATCTCTGGAAAAGGGATGGCATCTTGTGTTTTTCACCTCTTATGACTTTCAGGTCATCCCCATGGCTGTTCCACATGGTTCAAATGAAACTTCCTATTTGCTACCTCCAAACAAAGAGGACTGGGAAGGTCAAGGCGTCCCTGACTTTATCTATGGACAGAAGGACCTCATGTGGGAAGGGATTCAGTGGCCAAGGAACACAGCCAGCCTCTTGGACACCCCGCCACCGTCTCGCTTCGACACTGCACTCTGCTCTGCCTGGAGGCAGCGGATGGAGCTGGGGCTGTTCCGCTACTGCCTGGGGGAGCTGCAGACCCAAACCCTCCCTGGCACTGTGGGTTTTGTGGCTCAGCTGAATGTGGAGCGAGGGGTGCAGAGGAGGCGCCCCCAGAACATCAGGAGCGTGAGGCAGCCATTTGACCCTAAACAGTTTAACTTCAACAAAATCCAGCCAGGAGAAGTCCTCTTCCGTTTGCACCGGGAGCCGGGTCTCCCAGATGTTCTCCAGCAAGAGGACATCCTCGTGGTGATCAATGTCAGCCCCCTGGAGTGGGGCCACGTGCTGCTGGTGCCTGAGCCCTCCCGGGGGCTCCCCCAGCGCCTGCTGCCAGGTGCACTGCGGGCTGGGCTGGAGGCTGTGCTGCTGAGCTCACACCCGGGCTTCCGCGTTGGCTTCAACAGCCTGGGTGGCTTGGCCTCAGTAAACCACCTCCACCTGCACGGCTATTACCTGTCCCACAGGCTGCCCGTGGAGGGAGCCCCAAGCGAGCCCCTGGACCCTGGGGGCCATTTGCACCTACTCCAGGCTGTCCCAGCTCCCGGCTTCCTCTTCTACACCAGTGGGGCAGGGCCTGACCTGGAAGCCTTGATAAGCAGGGTGTGTCGGGCCACTGACTACCTGACTGACCACGAGATTGCGCATAACTTGTTCGTGACCCGGGGGGCCCCACCTGGGAAGACTGCACCTTTCTCAGCCCTCACAGGGGTCCGGGTAATCCTCTGGGCCCGGAAGTCCAGCTTTGGGATAAAGGAAGGTGAGGCATTCAACGTCGCCCTCTGTGAGCTGGCCGGCCACCTCCCTGTCAAAACGTCCCAGGACTTCAGCAGCCTGACAGAAGCTGCCGCTCTGGCCCTCATTCAAGACTGTCTGCTGCCCCACGATCAGGCAGAAGAGGTACAGGCAGCACTGGTGGCCTTGACAACCCAGAAGGAGCAGTAATCCTTCCGGAAGTATTTATTTTCTAACTAATCCAAGTCTCTTGACGGAACTGTCCATAATGGTCATTTGGGCAGTTTCATGACTGCCTTCTCACTTGTCTCTGGAGGGAGCAAGAACTGATAAAAGCGGTCTCTTTGAAGAGCCGAAACCTTGTAATAAATCGAACTGAATGAGCCTTTGTGGATGTATGTGCTTCTTCTCATCTTTCTTCTTGAACAAGCCCCAGGAATGGCAGACCTGTTGTTGAGAAGGGAGAGTGCACAGGAGTCACATACTCCTGAAGTTATATAAGGACTTTTCCTTTCGTATTGAGTCTTAGGAAAGCAAGCTTATGTGCCTCTGGTATGGTGCCCTCACTTCCTCTGATCTTGCCTCTCTTCTCGCTTTGCGCACCACTGAGTTTTATGTCTTCATCCCTCCCCTGCATTTGGCCCTGCTCCATTCAGATGCCTTCCTTATAGGACCTTCTTCCCCTGCCCAGCCGCCTTGAAGTTTCCTCCAGCCCCAACACGGAGCTGAGCGGTCTTCACATATGAGTATGTCGTCTCATGTAAAAATAAGTGGTCCTCACAGCTTTAAAGGTACAAGTTCTTTTAATATCACCATTTAACAAAGAGATGGCGGGGAGGGTGGGGGAAACAGATTTCTGGGCTGGCCGAGTGGCTCAGTTGGTTAAGAGCTCGCTGAAGAGTACCCGCTCTGAGCAACATCGCTTCGAGTCCTTGCCCGAGCAGAGATGCCGCAGAGCTGCCAACAGGTGGCAGAATGGCTTAGCTTAAAAAACAAAAAAACAGAGATGGAGGCAGACTCAGATTTAGTAACTTGTTCAAGGTCACACAGCTCATAAGTAGTGGAGCCAGGACTGCAGCACAGGCAGTCAGACACCCGAAGCTGAGCTGGGACTGTGGCTTCTGTCACGGTGGTGCTCTCCTTAACAGTTCATGGGCCCTGAGCTGGGGTTCAGGTCCCCAGGTAGTTGGCTCTCTATGCCCAGGATTGAAACTTTTATGTAGAATTTTAGAGGTTTTTATCCCAAGATATTAAAGTCTCATTGGGATAAGGCAGAATATGTACTGCAACCCAATCTCATGAGAAAAACATTTTTAACTTAAATTTAAATGTTTGCATTTGTATGTTGACCATTTAAATTTCTATCAAAAATTTGTGGCGGCCCTCATGGTTTTGGCACATTGCCTCTCTCCGCAACACTTTGCATATACAAACTCCACTTTATTTTGCTTGTTCACTCTTTGAAGGGCGTGCAGGTGACCATTACAGCGAAGTGGATTTTGTGTCTAAGGTGATGAGCCCAAATGTCAGGATTATCCCACTTATTCACTAGGACTGATGTTCAGAGGAAAGCCTTCTCTGGGCCAAATAAATTTTTCCACCCAAAGGGTAGAAAAAGTCAAACAGGTTTTCTTTATGGTGGTACTTCTCAGCCTTTTATATATTTAGATGGCAGTTTTTTCTAAGCTTGAGAATGGAACACCTAGAGGAGGACCCTTTGTTCTCAGAGCCCTGGGCTTTGAGATGGTAGGAAGGGCTGATCCAGCCCCTGGCCTCTCCATCTCTTCGCTTGCTTTTTGATGGTGGAGGGCCTCCTGTGCTAAGAGGTTTTGGATTTGATCTAATGTGAAACCTTGAAGAGTTTTCAATTGGGTAGTATCAGATTTGCATTTCAGGAAGAATACTTTAGCTGTGATGGATGGATGGATGGATGGATGGATGGATGGATGGATGGATGGATGAGGGAAGAATAGAATCAGAGTCCAATTAAGAGGTTGCTGAATGGTGGCAAGAAATGATGATTCAGGTCCTAGAACAGGGCCTGGAACACTAAATATTGTCGAAAGAATGAGAAAACTGAGTGTCCTGGAAGCCAAGGGACTCCAAAGCATTTCAAGGAGGGAGTAATTGAGAGTATTGTATATTGCCTTACAGCGTCATCCTTGACCGCCCCCCCACACACACCAGTCCCTGACCTAACAAGGTCACGAGGAAGTGTCTCGGAAAACTGGGACCCAGAGGAATGATGTCGGTTATCTCCCTTAGTTCATGGCCGCAGCTGCAGCTGTACCATCATGGGGGTTGTGTGTGTAGGAGTACGAAGGCACAGTATGTGTTGGAGTACTATGGGTCTGGTTGATGGTAATTGGCCTTAAGGCACTTATCACACAGACTTTAGAAAAAATAAAGTTTTACTCCTTCGAAGTTCCTTAATAAAAGCTTCACGTTGGTCCGATTAGGTGCTCAGTTCCAAAGAGAGAGAACGACAGCCCCCTGGCCTCGTGTCATAAATCTATCTTTGTCTCTTTTATTTTCTTTCACCCTGAGCCATCCCCTCTCACTCATCACTGCCCTTGCTGCGCGGAACGTGGCAATTGTATACCGAAGAAAAATCAAGTCTGTGAATCAGAAAATGCCCATGTGTTGTTTTTTTTAAGATTTTTATTGGGGAGTTGGGGGGAGGGGAACAGTGTTGGGAATTGGGGAAGGGGACCAGCCAAGTTGTTGTTCTTCAGTCTTCGTTGTGGAGGGTGCCAGTCACCATCTGGCTTCCCGTCGGCAGCTTGTGGCCTCTAAGCTCAAGATGCTGTGTTCAATCTTAGTTGCAGGTGAGCATAGCCACCATCCTATGCGGGAGTTGGACCAGCAGCCTTGTTGTTAAGAGTGCACACTCTATCCACTGAGCCATCCGGGCAGCAGCTTAGCTCAAGGTGCCGAGTCCAGTCTTAGTTGCAGGTGGGCATAGCCCACCATCGAACAGGCAATCTTGTTGTTACACCAGCTGAGCCATCTTGCCACCTGTTGGCAGCTCAGCGACAGCTTAGCTTGGGCGCAGCGTCTCTGGCCCATGTGGAAATTGAACTGGCGGCCCTGTTGCTCAGAACTCGTGCTCTTAAGCCAACTCTTAACCAACTGAGCCCATGTGTTTTTAAAGGAGGGAAATTTTTAAAGTGTCTTCTAGATTGAGCCACAGGGGATAATCTTAAGTTGACAAGTTGGGCTCAGTTTGGTGGAGGTGGCAATCAGAAGTCAGACAGAATGGGTGAAGTGAAGGAGCTGTCTGATACGGCAGTTGATTTTCCTTTCTTAGCCAGTGGGGCTCTCTCAGCCCAATAGACTGAGAGCTTGCGTGCTGATCCATGCTGTCCCTCCTGAGTGCAGAGGCTGTGCTCAAACCATGGTTTTTTTTTTTTTAAATTGAAGAAAGGCAAGCAGATGTTTCTCCAGAATAGAGTTGGCCAAATTCTGGGCTTGGCCTGTGAGTTCAAGGAATAGTAGGAGTGGCACTTGTGCCAATGGCTGTGGAAATGGAAGGACTACAAGTCCCATGATGCACCGTCAGGCTCCAGACTAGCAGCTCGGTGGTTTCTCGGCCAGCCCCAGAGGCAAACGTTTGTGGTGCGGCTCAAGATGGCCTCAGCAGGAGCCCGAGTGGGTGTGGTTTCCGGCAGGCTCCGCCCCCAGAACGCTGCTCCATTGGGAGCCGCCCTCGTGTCCATGGTGACGGCGTCAGCTGCTGGCTTGCGGGAGGAGGTGCAGCCGTTGTCGGGAGTAAACCTTGGGGTTGGGGGGGGTGGGGCGGGGAGCGTGAGCATAGCGCGCTTCCCCTCGCGACCAGCGGGGACTGCCGGTCCTGTGAAACAAGGAGGCAGTTCCGGAGGCCCAGCAACGCCCGGGAAGGAGCAAGAGCCAGGCGTAGGGTGGACATGAGCGACCAGCTGAGTCCAGTCCCAGGCTTGTAGCGGCGACCCTGAAGCCCATCCGCTTTCCTCGGAACCGGGGGTGGGCAGAGTCCTGAGGGGCTTTCTCTCCTCCTTCAGAGCTCAAGGGGTCTTAGCCAGCAGGTGCCTGGCCCCAGTGTGTACACATGGAGAAACTGAGTCATGGGACAGGGCAAGGACCAGCCTAGTAGACCTTTGGTCTTATGTTCCATTTTAAAGTCCAAGCACCCCTATCCATTCCCCTTCCCATTCAAGAACACAAAAGCTGTGGCAAGTCATGGCCCTTGACAGCTCTGTTCAGCTCCTGCATGCACCCCCGTGTTGCGTGGCTTAATCTTGGGTGAGTCGGTCTTGTCAGTGAATCCAGCATCGCATGGGCATCCCACAGTCCCCATTACCTACTTGGAAAGAGTCCATTTTGTAGTGGGATTGTTCTTTTCTGAAGGAGCAGCAACAGTCCCTGATAACACCAGGAAGTTCCTTACAGTGGACTCCTGCAGGCCCTTCCCGGCCTGGAAGAAGGTCTGATAGATACGGTATTTCACTCCCACCTGTCCCCTCAGGATCTAAAGGATGGAGCCAAGTACCTGTAAGACCACTGAATCGGAAAAAGACTATGTTGAAGAAGAAGAATATGAGGCGTGTGATGAGGGGGAAGTTACCATCCCTTCTAACCCTTCTCAGCAGACACTCTCAAAGACTGACTGTCAGGCATCTGGGAATGGAGCGCCCTTATCCATTGTAGCCACAAAAATTCCGGAAAAAATCATAGCCCCAGCTGACTTAGATGACACAGAAGTTGGGAGGAGAAAGAGAAGGCGGAAATGCAGGTAACTGTTCACTGGACCCCCGTCACCTGCCTGGCTCCTGAGAGTCACCCCCTGGCCTCCCTTTAGCACTTGGGGGGTGGGGGGGCTGGGATCCCAGGTTTTCCCTTTAGCCTAGGAGAGGGCAGGGAGTACGGGAGCATCATTAAATCTTCTGGTACAACAAAAACTAAATTTGGAACCATTTGGGCTGGCTTAGTGTAGAATTTCAGCATGTTTCATCGGACTGGTCTTTAGAGAAAGTGGCTTCTAGAGAAAATGAGCTGCATTGTGAATTTGTTGGCTGTCTTTTCATCTGAGTGCCTGGCAGCCCAGGGCCTGTCCTTCTCTCCTATTCTGGCTGATTTCTGCTGTTCCTCCATTCCAGACCCCTGGCCATAAACCTGACCAACTGCAAATATGAGAGTGGTAAGCACCCGGCTTGTCACTTACGCCACATAAGAAGACACCCACTGCTGTGCCCCACTCAGGCTCCCTGCCTCTGGATCTTGTTAGGCAGGCCTGTAACCTGTACTGAGCCCCCTGGCTCAGGTCCTGGCAGCTGAGACATCCCTGTTCCACTTAGTGTGACTGGTAGGGTGGGAATCTCCACAGTTAGCTAACAAGAACAAAAATG